TTTGGGGTTTAAGGTTTTGGGGTTTTAGAGTTTCAAGGGTGTTGGGCTACGGGTTTTGGGTGTAAAACCAGCACGATAAACTTACCACAGGGTTTGCAAGTAGAGCTTAATGTTGCGTTTGTGTATAGTTTGTGTGGCGTGCAGGGCACAAGCCTTAAACCCCTGCTGAGACCCTACAGCCCTGCAGCCTCAAGGGAAGGGAAGGAATTCTGCTTCCACAGCCCTACAGGCTGTCCTTGTGAGATGGAATCCCAAGGTGGAGACTACTGTAGCTCAGATGGTGTCGGCGACCAACGCCCGAGAATACGTGGCCAAGATGCGGTTCTGTTTGGACTGAGTCAGAGCAGATGCATGCGGCAAACCAGGATAAGCCATGAATTAAACCCTAAACCCCCCTAAACCCCACACCCTAAACCCTGAGAATGAGCTCTTAAACCCAAAAGCCTAACCTGTGGAAATAGCGGCTGCGCCTGCTGACGCTCGCGGGAGGTCTCCGGCATGTCCGAGCCTGGGGGGCCCCATACTTTCACAACAGAAATGAGCTCAACGAACGTGACAAGCTGTTCCGCTCGCGCCGCGAAGATGCCAGTTTAAATGTACAAATGCCGGGACGGCAGCTTCAAGATCCCATAAGGCATCTGTCGGCCGACAAGGCAATGTCGAAAAGTGCACTTCGTGCAGATTTCAATTAACGACAGGTTCCGCCGTTGACCCAGCCGAGTCGTTGTGAGCCTGATCGGCCACGCATGGTTGCTTTGGGCTCGGCCCCACCATGGCCTCTTTCAGCAGTTCTCGCATTTCTATCTGCTTGTCCCGCCTGTCTTGTGCTATCCGACGCAACATGCTCAGTGGTGTGTAGCCCAAGTCGTCACAGCGCCATGGATCAGCCCGGGCGCTCAGCAGTAAGCTTGTGACATCGAGGTCTCCAGCCACGGACGCGACATGCAAAGCATTAAAAGACCTGACATCACCGATGGGGTGATGAGGGTCGGCCCTCGCCTCCAGAAGAAGTCGGACCATCTCTATCTTCTTGAATGCGCAGGCTTGCACAAGAGGCGGAAAGCGCCAAGCCGGGTTTGGCTCTTGCGGCCGGTTCAGCATCTTTTCAACTGCCAAAACATCGCCTTGGCCTATGGCGAAGGCCATCTCTCCCTCTGTACAAGCATCCGAGACAGTGGACATCAGGATCAGCTGGACCTCGCCCAAGTCAGCGAGGGAAGCATCGTCCTCCAACACAACCCCATTGTGCAGCAGCTTCTGCTGGAACCGCGGAACTCCACAAAGACCTTGTAGATGCCTTTTCAGTGTCTTGACGTCCTCAAAATCCTGGACAAGGACGGTGCCAAACACGTCTCCGGAAAGCCCGGACTGAATGCTCAGACTTTCGGTGGAAGTATCGGGCTCTGAGGCCCCATTGCCCATGGCTGCTTTACAGTGGCCAACCCAAAACAGCGCAGTGCAGCAGTGCTTTGCCTGCTTGCACCAAGTTAAGAACAGGGGCCTTCATATTTAGAACAGGAGTTCGGAATAAATTCTAGTACAGATTATAGGAAAGAGCCCTAAGGAGTAGATATTCAATTCAAGCTTCTCTGCGAGCTTCTTGGAGGTGCCACCTGGGGGCTTTTTGGGCCAGATCCGCTGAGGAAGTCGCAGGTGTTCTATAGTTCTACTCCGGATGGGTTTAGTCACTTTAGGGAATCCGGATACAGGGGCTTAGGGCTCAGGGACACAACCTGAGACTGGTCAGTAAGCTTTGTGATAGGCCCGCGCTGCGGCTCTCGTCGCCCCTCAGCGATGACTCGAGGGTCTGAACCTGTCAACTTCGGGAACGGATGAGAGACAAGATCGCAAAAACTCGCGTAGCAACACTTGGCTTGCAAAAACCGACGCTTGGTGACTGCAGGCTCGCAAAATCCGATACGAGAAGTAGCTCTGGTTTCACAGAAACAACCGGACCTAGCTAGGAGCCTCGATTCTGGGTCGACGATGCAGTCATCACTGCCCGAATCAACCGGAGTGGCCACTGCTCTCAAGACATCCGTAGACAGCAACCGCAGGAAATTAGACTTCCCATACCCTATCAGCACCTTCTTTTCCAGAAGCTCTTGCTCCTTGCGAATCATTGGCTCTGGCTTGGCACAACCAATCGGATATCTCGGCAAGCACGACAAAAGTCAACACTCCTGCTCGCTTGCCGACAGCGCCGCGGCAAGCCGTCTTGAGCTAGTGGCTTCCTGGCAGAGGTCATGGGACTCATCGCAGATTGCCCATGCGTGGCAATCCTGGCAAAGCCAATGCGCTTCATGGCACGAGGAAACAGGAATAGGAGCAGCCCTCCACTTGCCGCCTCCGTCAGCTCTTGGCGACAACTTAGCAGCCTCGTCCAGTTGTGATTCAGCTGGATCACATCAGGACTAAATGTATGTATGTATATATGTATGTACGCAAGTATATATGCAGGTATGTGTGTGCGTGTGTCTGCCTGCCTGTATGCATGTATGCATGTATGCATGTTTGCATGTGTGCATGCATGTTTGCATGCATGTATGTATGCATGTATTTATGTATGCATGTGCGTAGGTATGTGTGTGGGTATGCACATGTGTATGTGTGTGTAGAACTGATGCACGACGTGCGCGTGTGTGTGCACATATATATATATATGTAGAAGTGTGTATACATATATATATATATATGTATACACACACCGTGCATGATGAGAACTGACATGGCATAGCATGACATGGTATGATATGACGCGGTATGATGCGACATGATACGGCTTGCTGTAGGATGATATGGTGTGTCTTGGCATGTTTTGCGATCTGATGCGATATCATACGCCGTGATACTGCCGTGATATGACATGACATGGCATGATATGATCGAACTTCTTTCCTGACCCCCCTTTCCAAGCCCTGAATCTTGGTATTGATGTTAACCTGTTAAACAATTCAGCAAAAAAAATCATGTATGCAAATGGACGACATCCGTCATCCCGCATGGGCCTTACCAACATTGATGTCAAACACAGTAATGGCATATGTGTGTATTGACAAAACCCCGCAACAGGCACTCTCCTCATTAACACTGATTTCAAGCAGTTCTCCAAAACAACAAAAGTATGTATGCGGATGGACAACAAATTCTGCGTCATGCATACGCCTCAACATTGACATGAGAGGCGTGAGCGGAGCGAGCCGATTAACATGTCATGCTCTTGCTTCGGGTGGCCTGTCCACCCACGGCATGAAGTGACATGATATGGCATGGAATTGGACATCACCTGATACGATATAACACGGTACACGGCATAATAAACCAATGACCACGTAAATAGCTAAATTACATAAGTGCACATATATATATATATATGAGCATATATATATATATATGTATGTATGTATGTATGTATGTATGTATGTATGTGTGTATGTATGTATGTATGTTCGTATGTATGTATGTTTGTATGTATGTATGGTTTTATGTATGTACGTATGTATGTATGTATGTACGTATGTACGTATGTATGTATGTATGTACGTATGTACGTACGTACGTATGTATGTATGTATGTATGTATGTATGTATGTAAGTATGTAAGTATGTATGTATGTATGTATGTATGTATGTATGTATGTATGTATGTATGTATGTATGTATGTGTGTATACATATA